TGCTTTTTCAAAAAGAGATAGTAAAAGTACCATGCCTCAGCAGGTTCCAATTAAAGAAGGCCTAATCCAAAGTGCACTGAAGTTAATAAGAGACTTTTTGTCTTTTTACTGTTGGGGCTTGGACCAGACATCGGTTTCAGAAATGGTACCTGTATCACATACAGATGTTTTAATGCAGACTCCTCCTTCAGAAGAGACAGGAATCTTCCTGTGCCATCATCAGCTCTACCCACCAGTTTCAAAGGAAAATTGCAATTAATCTTTTTCCACAACTAAAATGCTAGGTTCAGAGGTGAATTCTGCTAAAACACATACTAATTTTTTAATCTGCGTATATTTGTTTCTGGAAAATGCTCATTTTTCTCAGGTAAGCAGTTAAAAAAGACACTGCATTCAGGGTGGGGAAAAAGCCAGAATTTATTTTTATATCTTTAGATCTTAGGTGACTGTAAGACGCCTTGAAATTTAAAAATCTTTTCATTTAGTGAAATTTAGACAAAGATTTTGAATCTTCATTGTAAATAGACAAAGGTTTTATCAACTGTCCTTTTAGCTCTACTTCTACTGTGTCTTGACATTGGTCTATGTCTATGGAGAATATGGAAGCTTATAAACAGCTTTAAATATTTATATATTAGCTCTCAGAGGCTGTTTTCATTTCCAGTAGGAAACAAAATTGGCAGCATGACCACATTTAGCATTAGATGAGCATGCCTTTTATTTTCTTTAACTATAATATAACATTGTTTATTTTTTCAGACTTTTGCAAAATGTTTTATTCCATAGATCAATGGCCATCATAAAATATGACTCCAGATGGAAATTTCCCTCACTATATCTGGGAGAAGTGGTTAACACATGAATGCATTTTCACTGGCAGTCTGACATGCTTTTACCCTGTGAAGATCCTTCCTTTGTGATTATTCATACAGCTTATGCAAGTGAGAATTAGTGCTCTTAGGTCTTGCCTATTGCCATGCTAAGAGTCCACCTGTACTTGCAGAGTACAAAACAGTTTTATAGAGCTTATTTACCACTCAGAAGAGTTAAATGGGATGTCAGAGTCTCCTCTGGAGACCAAGGAAGAAAATCAATGACGACTTCTTCCAAGGACTGCAAGCTATGCCATCTGTTTCATTTGAAGCTCCAGAAGTGGCCACATTTTATGCTTTCCTGTCCTGGAGCTCCTAAACTCTGCCACAAATAAGTAGATACCAATAACACCAAGTTTCACTAGTGAGGATTTTTCAATATTGATTAAGAAACCTAAACACATCAGAGAGAAGTTTCTTCTGGCTCACTTTTGCCAAACTCACACTCCATCCCAGAGCCCAAAGTGGCTGTGCACTTCACCACAAACAGTGGAACTGGGGTTCCCCTGGAAGCCAGCCTGCCCCCTGCACCAACCCTGGAAGCACAGCGGGCAGGGAGGACAGGAGCCCCTGTGCAGGTCTCCTGTCATCACCCAAACTTTGGCACAAGAGAGTTTGAGGTAAAGGGAGAGATGGGGAAACTCACTGAGTTGTCTCGGTCCTGAACAACACTCAAGTTGCAGGCTTGTCCATGAGATTTAAATAAATAAATTTGCTCTTAAATTAGCAGAAAAAATTAAACATTTTCAGATCTTCTGAGTGTTCTGTGAGAGAATAAGAGGCCTTACTATACATCTGAAGAATTAAACTGCCCTAATTGCATCCTTGTGCAAAATAATGCATTACATACAAAAGAAAAATATTTTTTAAGTGGATGGAAAAATCCACTGAGTTAAAGGAATACTACTGTCAGTTAAATGTATCCCTGCATTTGTGTAGTGCAAAAACAAGCTTTAATAAAAATGAAGAATCTGATAGGAACATTTCCATGAATTTTAAAATAACAGCAATGGAAACAATCTCATAAAACAAGTAAACCTCTCCCTCAGATATTCAACTCAAGTATTAGAGCATTCATTCAGGCCCTGGGAATGTGAAAGCAACTATAAATTACGAATTATATGCTTTGCTCTACAATATGAGAGGCCAGATTTTATAATCTTTGTCTAACTGTGGCTCCTCTAATTTTAGTACCAGGTGCAAGGGTTGTACCATTTAGCCCACCTAAAGAAACTGGAGAAATTACCTGATATGATACTCACCTATCAGGTTTCCAGTGGCCCATACTAGATGCTCAGACAGATCCCTATCTTGAAAGGAAGCCTTATTTGGCATGAAATTTCCTATCTACTGAAGGTTGTTTTCTTAACCATTAAAAAGATTCTGAAGTTATCCATATTAGTTATGGATTACCTGACATTGGCCAGCCATGGCCAGCAGGTTGAGGGAAGTGATTATCTACCTCTTCTCCGCTCTTGTCAGACCCCAGCTGGAGTGCTGCTAGCACCTCTGGAGTCCATACACAGGAAGGACATAGAAGCACTGGAGTCCAGAGAAGTGCCATAAAGAGGACCAGAGGGCTGGAGCACCTCTCCTGTGAGGAAAGGCTGTGATAGTTGGGACTGCTCAGCCTGGAGAAGAGAAGGCTAAGGGAAGACCTTATAGCACCATCGAGTACCTGAAATAGACCTACAAGAAAGCTGGAGAGGGACTTTTTACAAGGACATGTAGTGATAGGATAAGGAGGAGGAGCTTCAAACTGGAAGAGGGTAGGTTTAGATTAAATATTAGGGAGAAATTCTTAACTATAAGGGTGATTAGGCACTGAAACAGATTGCCCAGAGATGTTTGGATGCCTCATTCCTGGAAGTGTTTAAGGCCAGGTTGGATGGGGTTTTGAGCAAACTGGTGTACTAAAAGGTGCCCATGGCAGTTGTGTTGGAGCTAGATGATCTTGGAGGTCCTTTTCAACCCAAACCATCCTATGATTTCATAAAATAAAGAACATGAAATGCAAAGTTCACCCAGAGAAGCAGGTACCAGGGTCCTGCAAGTGTGCCCATTACATTGCTTTACTGCCCAGACTGGTTGCCTCCTTGGAGCACTGTGATCATTCTGGGTTAATTGGGGATGAACTGTCTTGAAGACCAGTCTTGTACTCAGACTTGGTCCTTGCTGGTTCAGAACAAGATAAGGTACTTACATTTATGACAGTGGGAGTCAACTGCTTCCTCTAAATCACATTTTCAGTAGTTTCTCCTGTCAACCATCTCTAGCTTTTTTTCCTCTGAACTGCTGTCAGGAAGACTGCTTTGCCTCTCCTTCCTAATATGCAAACCATGCTCCTGTCAATCTCACTGGCAGAATTGCTTCAAAGTCCTCATCCCACTCCCTGTGTTGGGCTGTGCTCGTATGAATTTGCCAAATGCCTGTACACCTGCTCTGGGATGGTTTTCCACCTAAAAAAGAACATGTTGGCATTAAAGCATTGTGAAACAGAAAAAATAAATAAATCCCAAACTCTAAATTAATTTAGCTTGTTTATCTGGAATTTGTTGATATAATTAATCTCTGGAAGCAGGATATGAATAGTTGAGATCTGAATAGGAGTAGTTAAGATCTGAGTGAGGTATAACAGTATCACAATTTAATGAGGGTCATAACTGTATACAGAAGATTAAAACCAAAATATTACCAGATAGCTTCAGAACCTGCAGGAGCCAGATCCTGCCAGGATATATTTTCTGTTTCTATGCTTCTAAAAACCAAGGCACATAGGATTTCTTTAAAATCTTTTTGTCTTTTCTAATTTCCTATGTATTTCAAAATTTAGGTATAAAACTAACAAATTTTAAACAATAAAAAGCAATTAAGTTCATTCTTGCCCCAGTAAAGACTTCAGACAAGGCTGTTAAGCTGTGAAATTAGAGCAAATTTTGCAGGATGGGAAGTTCTTTGGCAATGACTCTGTAGATGAAACAGTCTAAAGTAACTTATTCATAAATAGACCTAGAAACTCAGCATCAAAATTCTGTTCTTCATTTACTGTACAGCAAACTGCTCAGGGAGAATTAAAATGTATTCTGCCTCTTAGCCTTAGGCATCAGAGAGCAGCTGGTCACTCCCATTGCCTTTGGGTATCCTGCAGACTGATCCCCACTTGCCTGGTCAGCAAAAATCTCAGCATTTTTTCCCAGCAGGAATAAAATCTCCATGACAGAAGGGGAGGAGGAGAAGAGCACAAACTTTACTGTTTTTCTGTATAAAATCTTATCTTCATTGGTGGTACAATTACACTGGCAAAGAACTGAGGACAGCAGTGCCAAAACTGCCCCGTGAGGTGCAGAAAAGCTGGTAAAAAGTAAATGAGCCTGGTGCACGGCTGAGGAAAGCTGTAGGGAGAATAGTGGGAAGTTCATCTTGACCAGAAAGGACCTGCAAAATTCACTATCCTGTTGGGTGTGCAGTGGTCAGAGCAACGTGCCTATGGATGTTTGACCTCACCATGAAACAAGATTGCCTGGATACAGAGCATAGTTCAAAGACTCAGAAGGTCTCCCAGTTTATCTATGGACAACTTAGAAGCTGTCTCCTTTTTTAGGCTGCTTCTTGCTCAGTTTACTTGGTTCTTGCCTACTTCTGGTCACTTTTCTACTGTGTGTCTTCCTTGAGAACTCCCCACCTGTGACATGGCATATGCACATAGGGCCTGCCTGCAGAAACCTACACCCATTAAATAATAACAGCAGAAACCCTCACAAGCACCCTACAGTCCTGCTATTTCCACTTAGGACCTTTTTCAATGGCAGACAAAAGTGACAGCCATCTATCCTAGCAAGAAACTGTATGTGGTGAAACTTTTATAAATGTGAAATTAGCCACCTGCAATAACTGTTGTAAAATTGTTAAATTAGTAATGGTGATTAGTCTCATTTTTTGCTATAATATCAGGGAACTAGCATGAAACAGCAGTAAAAAGACTCCAACATAGTTTAGAAAATAAGTGAAACCAAGTCTTGTTCCCTCAGTGAAATCAAAAACCTTGCTGAACTCACTGCAGGCCTGCCTGCTTGCAAGAACTTTGTCACCCTATATCCCCACTGAAATAGCACAAAAGGGAACAGGAAAGAGTGATCCATTTTTTAATGTCTGCTAAAAATTAATCTGGCATGAAAAGAATTACAAGTCATAAGATGTCACAGAAAACTGGAATGTTTAAGCTTAATAAAATCACAGATCCCAACTTCAGTTTTTTTACAGTTTGAGACATCCGATCTTCAACATACATTTCCATCCTCTTCACTTAATTTAATGAAATGTGTGGAAGCACTGAATAAATAGCATGTCTTCACTCAAGCATGTACTGTATCACCGAAGGATCCACTTCCTCTGCCATCAGACTGGCGTGCAGTCTTTGAATTGTCGCTTTTTTCCCCAAACGCTGTTTCCACAGGACAAATGCAGCTACGATCTGAGACTGCAGGTTGTGAGGGTGATTGACTTTACATCGATAGATGTCAGTATGGGACAAACCCAAGCACAAAACTATATGCTCCCATTCAGGTCCCAGCCTCCTCGCCAGCTTGTTCAACTGCTGATCTGTCGGTGACATCTTCAAAATGCATGGTGCAACTTCAGTTATGTCTGTAAAAGAGAGAAAGAAAAAAAAAAAAGAGAGAAAGAAAAAGCATGTGTGTCACTAGGCAATGCTGTAAGAGTTAATGGGAGACATTGATAAAGGAGGGAATAAGCATAAGCAAGGCTGAGGTGAAAGAATTAATTAATTAAAGAAACAGAATACATATTTACCTAGAAAAATTAATTATGTAATGAACCAGAAGATTAATCAGAAGAAAACTATTGCTCAGTAGACCATGCTAGGTAGCCTTGTGATTCTGGACATCAGTAATCCAGACATCAGAACTGTACACCAAAGCCAAGACTTCCAGAAGTAATTATAGATTTCAGGGTAGTGAACAAGAAAGGTTTTCAGGGAACCTGTTTCCAGCAGCCATCATCCTCAATGTGTTTGCACCAGTATGATATAGTGACAAACATGGGACCAATAATTCCTTATTACTCCTATTCTGTGATTCCATTTATACACTTCAGAAATAACTTTGATCTCTTACTTAATAGGCATTACTCTTTTTTTCTTCTGAGGGTTGTTCAAAGGAAATTCTGTCCTAAGATGCTACTTACCTATTCTGCCCTGTCATGTATAGCAAACTCATCTTGAGGAGACCAGCCTTGAGGGCTTTTCCTATATTTGAATTAATCTATAAGCATGGTTCAAGTGAACCCAAATGAACAGGGCATCAACAGTGTTCACAAATACAAGCTACGCTTCTTTATCCCTCAGCCCAGTTCTTGTAACACTCCTGAAAGCAGGCATGTATGTGCCACAGCTCCATTCATCTGAGCTCCTTGAAGATGTTTTCAGGAGAATGCAAGGAGGTCCAATTTTTTCTCAGAGATTTTTGCCTGATGTTTAGTCCCATAGGATTGTCCACATACCCAAGAGAATGCACTCTTCATCCAAAAAGATGTTTCACATTAAACTGGTACCTGAGGAGGACAGGATCAATTCAACTACCAAAGCAGCTTTCACAGGAAGAATTAAGATAGCTGTAATTATCATCAGTAAAAATCTTGTAGGGACTGAAGCAAGCATTTCTTACAAACACAACTGATCTCTTTATGTGTTCCCTAGAATAATCTGGTGATTAAAATAAAATCCCGAAAGTATTCATACAAACAGTGTTAGTAGCCAAGTGAGAATACAGTGCTATTCAGAAACATGCTATGTGAGATCCAGCTCACCTAACTACAGATAACACCTCTTGAACTAAATATGCTAGGATTAATTACTGCTGAGAAGAGAAATAGACTCTTCTAAAATACAAACTCTCTCACTGGAAAGAAGATTTCTAAAATAATCAGATTAATTAACTAAACTCCTCTAAATGTGCACATTTCTCTCCACTTAGTGTAAAAGGAGAACTGGGTATAAGCTTAAATGTTGACGCTGATGCTGTAAACAGCCAGTGCCAGTGAAATTATTATCTTCCTGTAAGTTCAAACCACATGCCAGCCTTTAAAAAGGTGCATTTAGAAAAGCAGCATAAAACACCTACAAAGCATATTTATTCTTCAATAGCTTTTGTGATCAAAAGCTGAAATGAAGAGTCAATGCAGTCTGCAATTGCTGTTCTACTTCTCTTGCTGAAGATACTGCAAAAAAACACAGGCAAAATATCCCCTTGAAAAATGCTGATAATAGCCTGTTGGTCTAAAGCAGCAGACTCCCTACAGAAATGCTGCTTTGCAAAATCTAATTTATTGTTCTAATATCATGCTCACAGTCTCCACTACAGCAGAACAGCAATACCAGAAAGCACATTCCTTTATTTTATCAGAAGTTATTGTTTTCGCATAGAACACCCAGAGCCTGCAAATGTTTGTACAATTTCAGCCAAATAATACACAAGAACTATACAAAGCTGCTTTGAGTAAAGAGAAAATTGCTTTCTGAAGACTATTTAGGTCTCTTTGATCTTTTTGTCTCCAGACAGCCAAAGGAATCTGGGGCAAGTGCTGGTTTGTGGATAGGGCAGAGGATGCACAACTTCTGAAGAAGGCTGAGCAGTACCAGTGGGACTGCCCTATGCTGTCACATCACATGTGATACCAGTTTCACAGGTAAGTCAGGACAAGGCAGTGTATTTCATGAATGCAAATAGTAGAGAATAAAATAAATATAGCTACACTGTGCTGTCACCAACAATACTTTTTGATATTAAACCCTTTCCCTGGCTTATGGTCAGCTACTAAGTGTGTACCCACAGCAGTAATACCTGCCAGCCTGGGCTTTTTGCTCTCACACTAAAGTTTTTATATGTCACATCCACTAGCAGAATGATTTTGCGATACTGAAATGTGATCAAGAAGGAAGGCCTAACAATAATACATGTCAGCTTGTCCATCCAGCCTTTGATATTAGACAGGCTTTTTTTTACTACAATAAGTATCTTGTGTTCAGTCTGTTATCAGCCCTTTAATTAGGATCAGAATAAAACCCATCCAGGAGATCTTTTCATCTTACGCTACCATCTGATTCTAATATGGATGTGGAAAACTCTGGGACAGAAGCCAAATGTTAAATTTAATACAAAGGACTGGTATTTCAGTCTCATTTTATTTTCTTTGATAGCTCATTTTCAGCTCTGATACAAAAACACTGAGGAAAATCGTAGATAAATATTACATGACAGACAATATTATTTAGAGTTATAGAGAAATATTTAGTGAGAACTTTCTGTTATGACAAATGCAAAATCACAAAAAGATCTAGGTAAGTTCTAGGATTAATGTCACTCCTAATTTAATAAACCTAATGGTATTTGAGGTGAAATAGAAATGAGTTCTCTGTGCTCATGCCCAAACTGCTTTGCATATATTGCAAAAATATTAAAGATATCTTTTATTTTAGCTATGTTTACTACAAACTCTCATTTATAATCTCTGCTTGTCAGGAACAGCCTGAAGGAGGTAATGAGATTAGAGAAAAAGTTTCAATTATGCAGATCCTGCAGTTGCATTTGAAAGGTACTTTTAGGATACTGAGACCTCATTTTTGGAAAAAAAGGTCAAGTTTTTCTTGTTCTAGGTGGGTCTGATGAGTAGGTGTACGTGCTTCTGTCAGGCAAGCGCTTCTGCTTAGCAAAACGAGGACTGCGCTGTTAAAAATGGGAAGAAGTGGAAGAAGTGGGGCTTGGGGCACCACCAGAGGGTGTTGAGGGTTGCTCTGGAGTAGGCAACTTGTGCTGCTGTCACCTCCACCGAGAACACCAAATGAAACACTGTGTCCAGCTGTGGCCATGGTCTGGGCTGCAAGGTGCCAGCGCCACATGCTGCAGAGATTTAGAGGCTGAAGTCTCACTGCTCATGCGGAAACCACTAAGGTCCTGAGCAATGAGGAGCCAACAGCTCTGTGCTGGGGAGAGAGGCAGCCTGGTGCAGAACTTCTCTCCTGGGACCACCAGCCAGCTGGCTGGCATGGTTCTTGGGACCATGAAAATCCCCTTCCCTAAGGCTGGAGATGGGAAGGACACTCTCCACTCTGGCTGTGAAGCTGAAACTGACCCAGAGAAAGACCTGCAGCTCCTTCTATTCAAAGCTGTAGCATGAGGGAATGTGCTTCTCCCCATGGCTGGTGAAGGAAGCTCATCCACACTGAGCTTTATCCTAGTTGTTCCAGTTAAAAAACAGGAGATGTTGACAACTTCTGGCCTGTGTGCACATCTGTACTTCCAGACCACTGCACAAAAGAGGAGTTACAGTGGTGCTGGTGAGTGTGGACAGGAAACACAAGATATAGATATAAATAGTATCACAGATACAGACCAGACAAAACAGTCACCCAGATAACAAAGATACAAAAAACACAGGGGGAAAAGGCAGACAGTCAACGCTTTCGCATTTCTTTTTCTTCGGAAACTCTATAGCTTTAAGTAGAAAACTACAAGAAGATACTGGAAAAATCAGGGGGATAGAAAACAAGCTGACCTTAGCTGTGTCTCACTTGGCACAAATGGAAGGATGTAAGATAAAGTCCACACAGGAGACAGCAGCAAAAGGAGCTGAGGCATTCACTGCTGGATAACCTGCAAAATACCCAGCTGATTCCTCAGAACTGCTGGGGACCAAAATGCCTTACAGTTTTGCCTAAAGGGCCCTTCTCTATGTATGTGTGACTTCTTTGTGCATGACCAAAAGCATTTGTTGGAGTTTCAGATAGATTTCTCTGTGAAGTCAGTACATTTTAACACAAACTCAACTTTTTGGCTTTTGCTCCCCGCTGTGTAAAAGGGACTTGGATGGAAATTGCACCTGAATCCAAATTGCTGAAAAGATCTGAGTCAGTTGCTGCCTAATCCTACGAGAACAATGCTACAGGCAGTTCAGAAGACAGTTGAAGAGTCAGGGATATATTATGGCCCATCTTTTATCTAATAACTAATAAACCTGTCTGTTGGGAAAGGTGTTTCTGCAGACTGGTCTTTGCTTCCAGCACTGCCTCTGTATTTTATCCGCTTAAGAGGACCATGTACATACTTGTTGGGTAAGACAAGAAGGAGCCGTGGAAGAGGAAATGGGAATCCAGCTGTCTCTTGAGTTGCACATTCTAATGCCCAGACATACTCCATTTCTCCTGGTAAATCATTACAGAAAAAATATAAAGATTTCCCTGGGAAGGGTCAAGAATGCTTCCTAGCCTCCAGAACAGCACCGGCTTGAGAGAAAACTCTCCTGGGAATCAAGGAGTATGCTGAAATCAAGCGTGCAAGAGCCCTTGGCAGGAACAATGCTAGGAAAATGCTCTAATTTTTATATAATGACATCAGAAACAGGTCAGCGAGTCTGGTCTTCAGACCCTGCAAAACTGGAATGGGACTGTAAAGAGGAGTAACTACTTGGGCATGCATCTGGCCACAGCATCTCCTCCTGCTAGGTGTATGGAGTCCTTCAGTGATCTGGACTCAAGACGCTAACTACTGTTCATTTAATCCTCTTATCAGATACTAGTGATGATTTCTGAAGAGTTCAAAGCAAGCACTTCAGAGTCCTCTTTAATCATCTTT